TGATATGGTTAGGGTTAGGTAGTAGGCGTAGGCGACTCCCTAGACTCGATCGTTAGTGGAGTAGGCGAGGTACGGTTCGGCATATTAGACAGTACCAGGGTACGTTCCGGCAGTACCCCGGGGGACATAAACCCTCTCAACTCTAATATGCCGGACCATACCTCGCCTACTCCACTAACGAGTCTAGGGAGACGCCTAGCTATGCCTACTCCCTAACCGCAACCCTAACCCTAATCCTAACCCTAACCATATCAAATAGTGACCAGAGTACGTTCCGGTATACCGGAACGTACCCAGTGTACGTTCCGGCAGTACCCTGGGGGACATAGACCCTATGAGCCTTATTGAGCACACTACGTTGGCATGTTGTTAGTGTTACGGTAAGACCTACGACGTGTAAACTGTAACAGTCGGAGAGCCTGGTCGGTTTAGTGTTTAGGCTAGATACAATAATGTAACTCAACAAGAGTAGTGTTGTATTACTCTTCTTGGGGTACTTTGTTACTCTTCTTTTTCTACTTGGGGTTTCTTACTCTTCTTGTATTACTCTTCAACCCCTACTCTTGTTGGGTTACATTATTGTATCTAGTGTTTAGACTAGCCCGACCAGGCTCTCCGACTGTTACACCTCTCGCCAACGTAGTGTTAAGCCACAGGCACTTGAAGCGTTTCAATAAAATATATACGAAGGGGTCGTGTGCTGTGCACGGCGACAGTTAAATATATAGTTAAATATATATTTAACTGTCGCCGTGCACAGCACACAACCCCTGCGTATATATTTTATTGAAACACTTCAAGTGCCTGTGTGTTAAGCGAGAAGGGAACTTGTGGCTAGTGTTTAGGCTAGCTCCAAGAAACGGTCATACATCAAGAGACCAGATATCATGTCATTGTTGACGTTAGTCACACAGCCTGGTCGGGCTAGTGTTTAGGCCTACTTCATGCAGGCGATTTGTATCACTGTCAGTGAATTTAATTATTGGTCCATCAAATTAAAAACCACATGTGTATAATATATGTCAGTGACAGTAGGCCTATAATGTTACCTAGCTTTTGCGTAGCTCTGCTTTTATGCCCTTCGCTCTGTAACAGCCAGACGGCTACACCAGCCATTTAATCACTATCTCCCGTCACTCGCCATATCCCAAGCCAAGGTGCTTCTCTACTTACTAGTACCGTACTTGGAATAGAGTCACTCAGTCAGTAATGAAAATAGGTTCGCAAATTTTCAAACACCTGTACGTACAGTAAGAAATGGGGGGGTTCATGTTTAATATCAGGCCGTGGCTAGGCGACCGTTTCCGGACGCGCAGCCACTGCGTTAATATCAACAACTTCCTGAAACCTTGAAGAGTGAGTACTTAAAGACATACTAGGCCCATTGATTATGCATTAGTGCATCACGTGATAAATCGTTGAAATTCCATTGGATAACGCAGCAGGCACTATGAAGCAATAGTGCCCGCCTGAGCGGGCACTATTGCTTGCGCGACGCATTGTTATTATAACGCATTGTGTTCACGTCACGAATCTCCTGCGTGTGGGCGCCACGCAAGAGTTTGGAACGGCGGTTGTGTTTGTGTCGAACGTTTTGTTACATCGAATGCACCAGCAAATTAGGAAGTATAAAGAAGGTATATAAGCAGGAAAAGTAGATTGCATAGTCATGTGATGCACTAAAAACATTAATGCCTGTTGTTGGGGGCACTATGCTCTCATAGTGTTGCTTTGGGAAGGAATAGTGCCCTCGCTAGCGCTCGGGCACTATTCCTTCCCTCAGCATCACTATGAGAGCATAGTGCCCCCAACAGCAGGCATTAATATATAAATATTGACATATGCTAGAGTAACTGGCACCTTGTGTAGTTAATATAAGTACATAGCCAAATGCGTATTAGTTTGTCCAATATCACTGCTGGGTACATTACAAGCAAGACTTGAAATTGGTTGTTGATATATATATATATCGAAAAACGAGTTTTGCCGTGATTCTGTATCATGGCGGCAAGAGTCGACGCAGGTCACGTAACCAGCACCGCCATAGATATCATATAACACGTGTTATATTATATCTATGAGCACATGCAGCCTTCATGACCTTCAGCACTTGGCAACACCGCATTGCAACAAGAGACGCGTCACAACATCGCCGCAGAGCGGCAAAAGTAAACGCTGTTTGAAACGTTCGACCCGACACTTTCATTTTGTAGTCTAAAAGCTTTGAATAAATGTATTCCTGAGCAATTTTTTTCACCTATTACACATATATAGGCAAGTGCAAAAGTGCAGTGTTAAAATAATTCATTTTTGCCTGATTTTATGTTTGCCGCTTACAATTTCGAGGGACTCAGGGAAGGCACCTTTAAATATTATATAATAATATAATATGAATTAACTTGTTACATGAATGGACAGCGTTTCATTTTTTTACCTTATAGAGAACGATGTGATTATAAAATTGGTACACTTGTAGTATTGGTATGACTATGTTATGTTTCATTTTTCATATTTTCAGATATTTGTCTGGAAGGAGCTTGATTATGGATTAATGAGTGAATCAGAAAAGCACATGCTTGTAGCAGAAGTGAATCTGCTTCGTGAGCTTAGACATCGGCACATTGTAAGGTAGGTATTGTAGTATAAGTAGCACTAGCAGTAAAGTTGGACTATTATACCAATTTTATACAAAATCTGTGTTGCTTGTATCTTCAGTTGACAAAACAATATAAATGGCGTATGACATTGGCGATACATGCAGTCAAAGCTGTGCTAGAGCTCACTTTTATAGACTTGATGCTTGTCTGTGAGGGACACTTAGCATTTCCCTAGAGTGGCAGACACAGTGAAACCAGTCGCCAGTCCCACCTGTAAAATGACCTTTTTGCTAGATACCTTGCGTGACCCTAGCTATTGTTACAAGTTTGACTGAGATAAAACTTGGGGGTGGTTGTACAATTGGCAGGGACAATATATAATGAATATGATAAGACACGTATGTTATACTGAATAGAGACAATTCAGTATTGGCCACCATACGTCAGCCCAAGAGTGAAATCCCCATTAAATAGTTCTATTTTAGTTCATTATATGTGATAATAATTAGTTTTTCGTATATATGCAGGTATTATGACAGAGTAGTAAACAAGTCTACTGCAACTATATACATTATAATGGAACACTGTGAAGGTGGTGACTTAGAAAGGCTTATTAACAAGTGCAAAGTTAATAAGTAAGTACAATAAAACATGTGCTATGCATTCATTGCGATTTAATACACATCCAATAAATTGCCATTGCAACATATAAAACATATGCATAACTTATGTTGTGTGCATAATAACGAAGGCCTGCACATATGCATAGGAAACTACTCGACGAAGACTTTGTGTGGAAAATTCTCCACCAGTTGGCGCTTGCTCTGCGGACCTGTCATCGCTGCAAGGTTGGCCGTACGGTCCTACATCGTGACATCAAACCTGCAAACGTCTTTCTTGATTCCACCAACGATGTGAAGCTGGGAGATTTCGGTCTGTCGCGGATTTTAGCACACGACTCGAGCTTCGCTAAAACATTCGTTGGGACACCATACTACATGTCACCGGTAATCTCCTCGAAACATTTCTCAATATTTATACTTTTTTTCCTCTTTTAAAAGGTGTTCTTTGGGTTACACTTCTTAAACACACTCTTACATCTCCCACCCAACCTGTATAAAGTACAGATGTATGCAATGTATATCAGTGCTAAGCTTGGTTTCCTTAGTGATAATGCACTTACTTTACATATAAAGCATCACAGCTAACCATTTTGTCACAGCTGGCATTCCACAGAACTGCCAGCTAACGTTCTTAGTCGTTTCTACTACATGCAGGAGCAGATGAACAATGAGCTGTACAATGAAAAGTCTGACATCTGGTCGTTGGGATGCCTGATGTATGAGCTTTGCATGCTGACTCCACCCTTCCTCGCTCCCAACCAGAGGGCGCTGAAAGTTAAAATCCAGCAGGGAAGGTATAGAAGAATTCCTATGGCGTTCTCCGATGATCTCAACACGATAGTTAGCTGGATGCTCACTGTGCAGGTGATTATCATATGTAACTACGTGCTGGCAATCAACTCCCGTGCTGGAGTACTCATATCTGTCATTTTGTGATGGCTATGTGGAAAATAAGTCTTTGCCAGTTTGTTTAGACAGCACCTAACATGTCTTACTGTCGTTAAATAAAGTTTTTACTTACTTATGCCTTGCTATTCAATGTAGTTTCCTCCTTTTAAAATGCACATTGCCTATTTTGAACTTTGAATTCCATTGTGACATCAGAAGAGGACTCGTCTTGTGTGCATATTGATGGTTTCCTTTGCTGTGACGTTCTTCTAGGATAACAAACGGCCCTCTATTGAAGAATTGCTGAACGACAGCAGGATGGAAAGACACGTGCAGAAGCTTGACGCATCTGATGACAGTAACAATAAGCGAGAACAAGCTATAAGGTGTTGTATCTTTTAAGTGTAGAACCAGGTGTTGATGAATGCATTACTGCATGGCTGTGTTGTGGTGCATATACATTTAAGTTGTTTAAAACATTGTTAGAATACATTTGATATAGCAGAACAGGAACATTCAGCAAAGTTTGAATGAAAATAATAATATTGCCTTGTCCTGACTTTCAATAATTATAAATGTATGAATTGCATGCATCTAGTAATCTGTTATACAACATTTATAAAACAATACATTTGATCTATTACATAGTAGGCCTAATAGTGTCAGTGTTCTTTCCTCATAATGTTTCATTAATTTGTAGGCTGAAAGAGCTAAGCTTGAAGCAGAAAGAAGAGAATCTCTTTGAGAAGGAGAATAGCCTGAGGGAAAAGAAAAGGAGGCTGGCCGAAAGAGAAAAAGATATTGAAAGTCAGTTGGCATGAAAGAACTGAAACTGAGCTATGGTTTTTAAGGCAGCAAAATACAGTCGTATATAGCAACGTAAACCCAATTTGACTCTGTGACAGTCCTCTAGCTGCTGTCTTATGTAAAAGACTCACCTTTGCTTCACAGACTGTGTTGCATATATGGAGAAAGCTTTCACACAGGTCCCTCAAGCAGTCTTGCAAGATTTTATTTATATGATATTAATGATAATTTGTTGTTTTTAGGACGAGAGAGAGAGTTGGAAGCGAGAGAGCGATTAGCAGAGAAGAAACTTTCAGTGTAAGTGAAGTTCAACTTGTTTAGCTAAAATCTGGAATGGTTATCTCTTTCCACACTAGAAAAATTTATCTGGAAATTTATAATTGCAATCGTCGCTTGTACAATTATATAATGGCCATCCATTGCCATAAGAATAGCATCCTAATTTAATTTATTATATTGCGGTAAATCATGATTTTACATTGATTGTGTACTGTCAACGCTTCTCCATGATTTTGATACAAAATGTTCTTTGTGACAGTTACATTTCTGCTCATGCACAGTTCATGCATGCATGATTTGCCTGCTGTTTTGTGCACGTTGTGTGTGCTTATAGTGTAGCTTCTCGCACGTTTTTATTTTAGAGCAAAATCATTGGTGCAACAGCATGGCGAATGCATTAGCACGTCTACAGGTAAATCACCAGATTGTCCTCTAGATGGCAGCACTTTCTGTCATAACCTATCTCTAAAGTCCACCTTTGCGTGTTAATAGCAACGACGCCCGCTTTCCCGCACATGTTGTAGAGCTAATTAACCCGTATGGCTGCAGTGGGTGGCAGGGAGTTTAGCTCACAGGCACTTGGAATGTTTCAATGAAAAAAGTATGGTAAATAAACACGAAATGTATTTACTACCAAAGTCTTGATGTTTCTCTACTCTTTCACCTATTATTGCCGATAACTTCTTGTAAATGCCGTACAAATGCTCCTCTGCAACACACAAATACACCGCACGCATGCCGCTGTGCACAAATAACAAGAATAAAGAGCTGTGCACAAACAATAAGAATAAAGAATATAACTCTTTATTCTTGTTGTTTGTACACAGCAGCGTGCGTGCAGTGTAACTGTGTGTTGCAGAGGAGCATTTGAACGGCATTTACATGGAGTTATTGGCAATAATAGGCAAAATAGAATAGAGAAACGTTAAGACTGGTAGTAAATACATTTCGTGTTTATTTACCATATTTTTTTATTGAAACGTTCCAAGTTCCTGTGGTGCAGATCATTCACGTAACCCTGTTTCTGCACCATTGCATATAGTCTGGTAGCTGTGTAATGTATCATTTCCTGCAGGTCATTAGAAAACTAAAGGTAGCTTAGTCGAGTAGCTTTTTGAGTGGTGATAAATGTCTACGTCTATAAACGTACGTATAAATATATAAATTGCTGTACCGTTATTTATTTTCGAAGATGAACTGTATGTGACTAATTGTTGATGTTAATAATTATTAAAAGATACCTTTTTGTAAGCGTGTGTGATCCTAAATTAACTTGTGTATTTCATATTTAAAATGTGCAGTCAAGTAACTCATGTGCAGATGGAACTGTATTTTCGCGTTATTTTTGTACATCCAGTATTTTGTTAATACAAAAGAAATTGTATAGTGTGTGTGTACTCATTATGAAAGTGAATACTAATGTCAATTTTTTCTATCGTATTTCTCAATAAATGTGTGCTAAACCCCTCACGATCAAGCGTGTTGATGTTGCGGTGTCTTTTCCCGGAGCAACGCCGCGTATGTCATCAGTTAATCGAGCCGGGGAACATTTCCACCATGACGGTTTGCAGGGTCGACCGCTAGGCTTGACTCGGCGTCGACCCGGTCTCTGGTCCCGCGTGCAGAGACCCGGAAGGGGCCGAAAGCGTCTCTGACTACCTCTCAGTGTTTCCACGATGATCGCGCGCGAGCAGATGCACGCGAGAACCAGCCGCCTGCCGAGTCGCAGCAGCGTAGGCAGCTGCGGCAGCGACTGCTGGAAGCCAACCTGAGGACCGATAGGCTGCGATTGGTCGAGTGGCAGGCGAGGAAGGAGAGTAAAATGATGCTGGAGATGCGGTCTTGACTGCGACGCGCGTGTGAACGTAATCCCCTGCCGTGCTAGAGATATAATCTGAGCAGGAGTGAATAATAATAGATTATTCTATAGCTTATTCTGTTATTATTCACTCCTGATCTGAGGAAGACGTCGCAGCGGTGGATGGTTTGGAATTGAATGGTTTGGCCGTGGCAGACAAAAATAACTGAAGCGTCTTTTTTGTGAATCATGTAGCCGGGTCGAATTAAAGGGGTTACTCAAGTTAAAACAAAGTCATTAGACTGTAGTATACAGTTGATGTAATATATTCATCTGGTGATTATGGTAATATGTAGATGTATGTTCTTGATCAGTGGAAGGCAGCATTAATTGTGTATATTACATATTTATACTCATATATTGTGCACATTGTGATTATTTTGTAGAAAATTAGAAACATTGATCAAACTTCTTGCATTACAAAATTAATTTTCCTGGAAATGTGTTTTAGCCATGGACTGATCTAAAGTGTATCTAAAGCTATAAGTGCCCCCCCCCCATCTAAATACTCTATTTCTGCGTTTTCCCAGACAAAGGTAGATATAAGATGCGAGTAGATCTTCCTGGTTCAATGGCGTAAACGGTAAAGTTGCTCATAATGCTATCCTGCTTGTTAAATTCACACTCGTCTTCACACGACTCGTATCTATGCAATACCTGCATGACGCAAAGTACCACACCTCACGCAAGTAGGTTTGTTCATTTCGGGATTTCGTTTACAGTCGCACTCGTGTTAGCGTGGTCGTCTCTATCGAACGTCTACCTATTCACAGTGCCCGTAACCTCCTCCCCGAAAAGATGCCATGTTATAAACACTGTACAGAGCAGCCACCTGCTCAATGCAGCCAATGGCCACTGTTTTTGTATCCCTGGAGTGCACTCCAACTGCACACACGCGGGGCATTTTTCAAGTTTTCGCCTAGTGATATAAACATTCAGTGCACACTAGCACCGCAGGCAATTAACTTGCGAGCCAAATGTCGTGTCCATCTTGTGCAACCCGAATGAAAGATCAGTGACTTGCTGGTAACGCTAAATTTATTGACATCTGTGAGGATTACGTTACTGATTATGAAGCCGCTGTGGGTTATTTGTCAGGGGAGAAATCTGTCCCCTCCTGTCGACCCCTTCTTCTTCTCCTCTCCTGTCGACCCCTTCTTCTCCTCTCCTGCCGACCCCTTCTCCTTTCCTGCCGACCCCTTCTTCTCCTCCTCTCTTGTCGACCCCTTCTTATTCTCCTCTCCTGCCGACCCTTTCTTCTCCTCCTCTCCTGTCGAACCCTTCTTCTCCTCTCCTGTCGACCCCTTCTTCTCCTCTCCTGTCGAACCCTTCTTCTCCTCTCCTGTCGACCCCTTCTTCTCCTCTCCTGCCGACCCCTTCTCCTTTCCTGCCGACCCCTTCTTCTTCTCCTCTCCTGCCGACTCCTTCTTCTTCTCCTCCTGTCGACCCCTTCTTCTCCTCTCATGCCGACCCCTTCTTCTCCTCTCTTGCCGACCCCTTCTTCTCCTCTCCTGTCGACCCCTTCTTCTTCTCCTCTCCTGCCGACCCCTTCTTCTCCTCCTCTCCTGTCGACCCCTTCTTCTTCTCCTCTCCTGCCGACCCCTTCTTCTCCTCTCCTGTCGACCCCTTCTTCTTCTCCTCTCCTGCCGACCCCTTCTTCTTCTCCTCTCCTGCCGACCCCTTCTTCTTCTCCTCCTGTCGACCCCTTCTTCTCCTCTCCTGCCGACCCCTTCTTCTCCTCTCCTGTCGACCCCTTCTTCTTCTCCTCTCCTCCCGACCCCTTCTTCTTCTCCTCTCCTCCCGACCCCTTCTTCTCCTCTCCTGCCGACCCCTTCTTCTTCTCCTCTCCTGCCGACCCCTTCTTCTTCTTCTCCTCTCCTGCCGACCCCTTTCT